CCTAAAGCACATACCTAACAAGACCGTCTCAAAGTGAGAAGTCTCGAAAATATCCAAAAGGCCTCGGACAGGCAAGCCCTTTGGTAACTGGTTGAGGAGATCCACGATCTCTTTGTCCTCGGCAGGGAGTTGGGATTCTGGTATCGCCTCGTACCGCGTCGGTCGCCTCGTCCAGTAAAAGGGGAACAAAGGAGTCCCGTCTCGGTCGTAAAAGCAATTGCGCAATTCCGACCCCTATCGGACCTTGAAAAAACCACTCTTAAAACCTTTATAGGAGGAGGTAAAGGCCCGGAGGAATCCCCGCTTCGGTACCCGAGCCAATGACACCCATTTCACCGGCTTGTTTGGTCGGCAGGTATAATAATAAAGGAAGGCAAGGGGTCGGGGAGTGATACCCAAGCACAGGCATAGGTTTCGAAACGCCTGCATAGCAGCCCAAACGTTCGGATGCAACTGGGTCGGAGCCACGTTGAGTGTCCGGAGCACTCCCATCTGAAAGTCGTCAAAGGGTAACTATATGCCAAGGTCTTCGAACCAGCACATGTAAGCATAAAAGTGTTCGTCTTCGTCGGACTCCGGCTCCAAAAACACGAAGTCCATGTCCAGCCCGACGTCCACGCATGCCTCGGCGAGTAACGGAAACTCATCGTCGTTCCCGAAACACTTCTCCAGAGATACGAACGTGTCTAACAGTTCTTGATCGGATAACTTGGAAAAATAGATACCGACCTCCCCATCCACCCATTCGTACCCGGACATCTCTACTGTGCCATAATCAATCTTTGCCTTCGGCTGGCGGCTTGGGTCGACCATACCTTTTCTATGGGCATCGGCAGGCAACTCCAACTCTTTCCCGCCCACTTCAACTTGGGTAGTCTCAACATGTGGTCTTGGTTGACCGACCCGACCTAAACCTCGATCATCTACCTCGGTGGCCCGTGCCAAGGCCACAACCAAAGTCACAGGCGGCGATACCTCGACCACCTCATCGTCGCTATCTTCCCGCTCGGGATGGTCGGAAGGGAACACCACTTCACACTGCAACGGCGGCAACCTCGATATCTCACTCGAGTCTGACCCCTCTCTGCTCGACTTAGCGTTCGACGCCTCCGACTACGTCCAACTCCTTGCCGAAGAATACCCCTCGTCCATTTATTGCTAAAAATAAAGAATACAAAATTTACCTTGTTCGGTGAGCTCAGACGAATTAGATTTCGAGAGCGCTCGGAAAATTTACAGCAAGTAAATTTTCAGACCCCCCACTACAAGAAAAATGCTTATTTTTGACGGAAATTTCCGACGAAAATAGGCAAATTTCCGACAGATTTCTTTTTCCGACGGATTTCTGATGGATTTCAATCTGTCGGAAAAAGTGGCGTCGAAAAAAAAAATCCGTCGAAATAATTTTCCAACGGAATTTTCCGACAGAAAAATCCGTCAGAAAATTCCGTCGAAAATTTCTGACAGAAAAATCCGTCGGAAATTTCTGACGGATTCTGTTAGAATTTCCGACGAAAAAATCTGTCGGAAATTGTAATTTTTTTTTTAGTTTTAATAAATTTATTAATGTAACAACTCTCATATTTGGCCAAAATGAGGAGGGCGTGCCCTGATGCTCCGTCGACCAACCTGTCAATGCTCGGCAATGGGTATGAGTCCTTGGGGCATGCTTTGTTCAAGTCGGTGTAGTCGACGCACATGCGCCACTTCCCCGAGTTCTTCTTCACCAGGACCACATTCGCCAGCCATGTGGTGTATCTGACCTCACGGATGAAGCCAGCGTTCAGCAGTTTCTGTGTCTCGG